GTCAGAGGCAGTGCAGTTGGTGCAGGATAGAGCAGGGTTTAAGGCTGTTGTGCATAGGGTCGCTGTGAGTCGTAAACACCTCGACAGCACATAACAACAACAACAACCTTTCTTCCTACCTTCTCATTTGTGCTGTGGATTATTTGTTGGCCATTTTTTCTCATACAGGCGATTTCTTATTTATTTCTTAGAATATACACAGAAAAAAACCCTGTTTTACTGGAATACAGCCATGCTCATTTACATATGGCTGTTTGGACAATGTAATAGCTGAGCCATATGGGTACAAAAGAGCTCATGTAGCCCATAAATGTGAAAATACTCACTCTCTGGTCCTTCACAGTACAAGTTTGGCAACCTTTAGTCTACACTATCATGGAGGTAAAATGGACAAAATTTAAACATAGTGCTATAGGGTTATAATGATATGAAAATGCAATATTATTTTTTATTTCTTCTCTTTAGTACTAGAATCACTTTTCAGTGCCTATATAAAGACAGTTTAAAATCACATCCTTTTATCATTAATAGGGTTAAAGCTCATTAGATGTTAAACTTTTAAGATAGAGTAAAAATGTGAGAAATTATTTTCGTTATTAATTTTTATTCCTAATCTAAAATGCTGTTCATCTTTTTCCAGAAAGGTAGTCATGGCATTACCATATGAACCAGCAACTCCCCTCCTAGGGATATATCCCAAAAGAATAAAAATTAAGTACTAAAAAAATACTTGCACACAAATAATAAAGCTGCAATAGTCACAATCACTAAAAGGTGGAAACAACCCAAATGTTCATCAACTGAAGAATGGATAAAAATACAATATGTCATGGAATATTCCTCTGCTACAAAAAAAAGAATGAAATGTTGACTCATGCTATAATGTGTGTAGATGTCAGTAGGTAGTGAATTAGTGCTGCCAATCCAATGGCAGGGAGTTCAAATCCATCATTGGCTCCTAGGGAGAAAGAGGAGCAATCTCTTCCTGCGCAATTTATAGCCTCTGAAAACCCGCTAGAGGGTCAGCTACAAATTGGTTTTGACTCAAAGGCAATAAGTTGTTTAGTTGTGTTATGTTACATGAAAGAAGTCAAACAATAAAAGATCATATATGGCTCCAATTTGTGAAATATACAGAATAGGTAAATGCGTAAAAATAGAAATAATGAACACTAAATTAGAACAGATGAGGGCAAGAACTTCCTGAAAGGAATTACAATTCTACATTATAAGTGTAAGAACAGTTTGGAACAAGGGAGACATTGTGGGGGAAAGAAGAGAGAGAGGGAAGGGGGGAAATGGACAGTACTGAATAAATTCTTTTAAAAAGGGAAATAGAAAACTGGAAGTTGCTGGGGTGTAGAGGGAGAGAAGAATAGAGTAGTTGTTATTGTTGTCATGTACCTTCAAGTTGGGAGTGACCCATTAACCAATCCTCAAGCTGATTTTCAGAGGCAGTTAATGGCACAGGAAGAGACTGTCCATCTTCCTCACGCTGAACAGCTGCAGGCCTTGGTTGGCAGCACAGCTCCTTACCCCTGGAGTAACTGCTTCCTCCCAAGATAGAGACTTTGTTTCGATGGGATGACAGCATGTTGTTAGTATAGAGAAGGTTATACAGCATTGTGAATGTATTTGCAATTGGTATGCGCTGTAAAGTAGAATCCAAATTAGAGTGGCCCTGCAAGGTAGAACTGTCCTGCTGGGTTTCCTAGGCTGTAAATCTTCATGAGAGCTGTCACTAACTTGTACACTTTAAAACGGTTCAGCTTTTTTAATGTAAATTTCACCTCAAAGTGGAAAACTGTAAAAAAGAGAGGAATCAACTTACTTCCACAATCATCCAGCCATTCACTGGTTTACACTGTGGAGGAAGCTCCAAAACATCCAGGTGGTACACTCCACCTAGGGCTGTGAATTGCAGTAGATCCACCTCGTTTGCTTCAAAGAATTCTGGCTTTTCACAAGCCTCCTCGATCAGTAACATTTGTGCTAAAATGAATCAGATTAAGATGGTTTAGAAATAGATGATTTTTTTTTTTTTAGAAAAAAATTTTAAGAGGAAAATGAAGTCCCAGTAAGATAAAGTACTAAGAGTTTTCAAACTGCGGTTAATTCACAACTATTAAAATTTGGACTCTGTTCAATGCTAGTGAGCTTGTTTTGTTTTTTTTTTTTCATTTATTTTGTTTCATAACTGCTATATGGAAGGCGAGGGTAGAAGGAAGTGACTAATTTATAATTTTTATATACTAATGGAATTTTATACAATAAATAGATGTATTTCCAGAATTTTTAAAAATCTGTTTTCTTAGAAGTCCAGAAGGAGGCCCCTGAGGGTTAAATGGTTTTATGGGCTCAGAGCAACCTCGGGAGAATCCATTTTGGCCTTTCCCAAGGCAGGTTATTCCACCCACTCCCAGAAGTCCCGCAGGCAACCCCTGAGGGTTAAACAGTTTTGGGCCCTCAGGCCAAGAAAACAACATTGATGTACTAGAGGACACATCATCTTCTCCTGGGAAATTATACTACTGTGACAACAGTGGGCTGCAAATGGAACTTTGTGGTTGTTATGTGCCTCCCAGTCGCTTGTGACTCATAGTGACCCTATGTACAACAGCCCTAAACTCTGCTCTGTACTGTGCCAATCACACCGTCTCTGATACACCCATCCCGATTACCCCACTCACTGAATCAATCCATCTCATAGAGGGCTTTCCCCTCCTTTGCTGTCCCTCCACCCTCCCAAGCATGATGTTCCTCTCCAAGGACGAGTCCCTCCTTAAAACATGTCCAAAGTATGTTAAATGGAGCCTCAGAATCCTTGCCTCCAAGGAGCCGTCCAGTTTAACCCTCTCCAGGATGAATTTTTTTGTTTTCTTAGCAGTCCATGGTACACTCAATACTTTTCTCCAGCACCACAGCTCAAAGGCATCAATTTTTCCTCTATCCTCCCTAGTTATTGTCCAACTCTCTGACGCATAACAAGTGATAGCAAAGACCATGGCCTGTATCTGATGCACCTCAGTCTCCAGAGAGACACCATTGCCTTTCAGTACTTCAGAGAGGTCCCTAACAGCAGACTAACAGAGGTCCCATCGCAGTATGTCTTTTAATTTCCTGACTACTGGTGCCAAGAGTGTTGACTGTGGAGCCAAGCAAACTAAAGCTGTGAACAATTTCAGTCTCTTCACCATTCATCTTGATGCTGCCAATTGGTCCAGTGGTGAGAATCTTTGTCTTCTTGATACTGAACCTCAATCCATATTGAAGGTTGAAGTCCTTGACCCTCTGCAGCAAGCGCTCAGGTTCTCCTCAGTTTCAGCAAGCAGGGTTGTGTCATCTGTATAATGCAGATTGTTGATAGATCTTCCACCAATCCTGACCCCACATTTCTCCTCATACAGCCCAGCCTCCCATTTCTCCTCATACAGCCTAGCCTCCCAAATAATTTGTTCTGCATACAGTTTTAAAAGGTATGGAGACAGGACACATCCCTGGTGTATACCCTTCCCAACTTTGAACCAAATTCAAATCTCAAGTTGTTATAATCAAGGATGCTTTAGGTAGAATATTAAATGATCCAGGAAGTATTACAAGAAGATGGAAAGAATATACTGAGTCACTGTATTGAAAGGAATTGGCAGACACAGAAGAACTTCATGGAATATGTAAGCAAGAGCCTACGGTGATGAAGGAAGAAACAGCAAAAAAGCAGGCCCCAGGAATAGATGGTATACCAATTGACATATTTCAGCTAACAGATGCTGCCTAGACATGCTCACCAAGTTGTGCTAAGAAATCTGGAGAACAATAACTTGGCCAACTGAGTGGAAGAGATCTATATTTGTTCCCATTCCAAAGAAGGGTGACCCAACAGTGTAGAAACTATAGAACAATATCATTGATTTCACATGCAAGCAAGATTCTACATAAGATTATAAAAAAATGACTGGAACAGCACATCAGCAGAGAACTGTCAGAAGTCCAGGCTGGGTTTAGAAGGGGTCATGGTACTAGGGATATTGTAGCTAATGTTAGATGGATCTTAGCTGAAACCAGGGAATACCAGAGGAATGTCTATCTGTATTTCATTGACTATGCAAAGGCGTTTGACTGTGTGGATCATAACAAACTGTGGCTGACTCTGAGAAGAATGGGAATCCCAGAACACTTGATCATGCTCATGCGAAACCTATACTTGGACCAAGCAAGTACTCTTTTTCTTCCTTGTGTATATTCAGGATGCTTTAATAAATTTTCAAATTTATTTAATTAAAATTCACTTATCTGAAGAAAGCGCAAGAAATAATACTGTACAGAAACTTAGTATTTGTGATAATTATTTTGTGAGTACTATTTTGGAAATCATGGAAAGATACTAGGTTTCAGAGATAGTGATGCATTAACTTGCATAGAGTCATATTTTTTAACAGGAACATTATCTAGTAATGGTTACAGAAAAATTATAAAGGCATAAAACCACATGACTTCTGGAACAAATAAATATGTGTTGGGGAAAATGAAGAGGAAAACAAAACTAGGGACCTATTGGGGGGGGAATGCTAAGATAATTAGAAAATAGGTGCCTTGGGAGTTATTGGGAGAGATGGATATAACCCCCCAAATAAAATATTTCCAAAGGGAGTTCTTGTCGTCTACTGAGTAAGGATTTGCACTGCCAGCCTAAACGTAGGTGGTTTGAACACCTGCCCCATGGGAGAAAGAGAGCTGTATCCTCCTGTGTGATTTATAGCCTCTGAATACTCACTGGAGGGTCAGCTATAAGTCAGTTTTAACTCAATGGCATATTAACAACACTATTCAACTGCTATTTTCTAAGACAAAATCCAATACAAAAAACTTACATTCAAAATATTGAGAACGTCCCAACTGTGTGTATTTGTGAATCTTACTGTAATATTGTTGTAATAACAAAATATTGGAAATAATTCACTGTCTATCCAGTTACATAAGTCATGTTTCAACATGGGAATAGAATGTTAGCACTGTTAGTGCTGCTGGGTCCGCTCCAATTTACACTGGCCCTGTGTATAACAGAAGCAAACACTGATCTTGTAGCTTCCAAAATAGGTTACCAACGTTTAACATGGAAAATGTATGCTTATGAGACGAAAAATGCTTTGTGATATATTCTCAGAGTTTTCCTAAAAATCTGAGCAAGTGAGAGAGAAGTAAAAAATAGACAGTTTTAACGATTGTATCAGAGAAACAATTACAGAAATTTTTCACATTCAACATATTTCTATAATGTCAGAATTAATTTTTTACAATCACTATGTATTTCTTTAGTAAGCAGAAAATCTCAATTAAGTTAAATTCTAAGAACTGTAATACAGGAGGATACCTGCTGAAATTGTTTCGCTTAATAATTTCTGCTCCACTTCAAACTTAGTGGCGTCAAGTTCTTCCACAATAGAGCCCTACAAAAAAATCACATAGAATACAAGAGTGATCATCAGTGCTTTAACTAAGAGTTAATTAGTTTTGTTCCAGCTCCCTTCTCAGGTCCTGATACCTTCTGAGGAGGGTTCCAAATTCATACTAGCTCTGGTTTAGAACTGGTCTCACAATAGATAATCTAAAAATCATTTCAAAGAATCCATCTCTACTCAACTGTACATGTTAGCCTGTTCCTTTTGCTGCTGCTGGAAACCTTCAAGTGTAAAATACTGAGACCAGAAATGAATTCAAGATGTAAAATTAGAAAACCCAAACTCATTGCAGTTGAGTCGGAACTGACTCTTACATAGCCCTCGAGCAGTTTTTCAGAGGCTTTATATCCCTCAGGAAGAGGCTGTCTATCTTTCCCACAAGGAGCTGCTGGTAGATTCAAACCACTACAGACGTGCCAACTTCAGATTAGCAGCACAACTTTCTATGGGCTATGTTAGGAAACTTCACTTGTTTTTGTATTTTGGTTATAGCAAATGGGTAGCTTTGCCAGTCAGTTTTCTGATAAATTATAAGCAAGTCTACTGTAAGAGAACTCTCCAAAGTCCTAAAGAGCAATGATGTCATTTTAAAAACCAAGATGTACCTGATTCAAGCCATGATCTTTCAATCACCTGCTATGAATTTGAGAGCTGGACAATGAATAAGGATGACAGAAGCAGTAATGCCTTTGATTTGTGGTATTGGAGGAGAGTAATGAATACTCCATGGATTTCCAGGAGAACAAACAGATTTATCTTGGAAAAAGTTCTGTCAGAAGTTTCTTAACCTTAGCAAGGATGGTGAAGCTTCATTTCATATTGGACATGTTGTTAGGAGGTGCTATTCCTAGAAAGGGACATCATGCTTGAAAAGATCACCAAAAGAGAGGACAATTCTCAAATTGGACGGTATAGCAGCAATGGGCTCACATATGTCAGAGATGAAAAGGATGGCACAGGATAGGACAGGGTTCAGATCTATTGTTCATTGAGTCTTACGCAATTCTATAGCCCCTAGTAGCAAAAACAGTCTTCTTAGGGGTGAGTGTCTCATGGGAATGGAAGATGCCATGCACTAAGAAATGTAAATGATATTATCATTTAGTATAACAATACTACAATAAGTTTTTCTAAAATCTAGATCTTATATATGCCACTAATTTATCATTGCAACCTTGAGTAACTCACTTATCCATTAAGCCCCCAGCTGTCCAATTGGTTTTGGCCCATCTCTTTATCTCTTTCGTTGCTCTCAAGTTGATTCCAGCTTGTAGTTAACATTTCACCAGGTTTCTAAGGCTATAAATTGCATGGGAGGAGACTATCCATCTTTTCCCCCTTGAGCAGTTCGTGGGTATGACCCATCAGAAAAGCTCATCTTTTGAATAGAGTGGACTACACTACCAGAACTCTTGGTTTTGACCTATAATGACCCTATAAAAAAGAGAAAATTTGTCCCGTAGGATTGCCAAGTCTGCAAATCTTTACAAAGGCAGAATGCTTTGTCTTTCTCCTGAGAAGTGGCTGGTGGATTTAAACCTTGAGTAACTCACTTATCCATTAGCAGCCAAATATTTAATTAACCACTGTATCATTATGTGTTGTAAGTTTCAGATCTAAAAGACAAAAAAGCCATATTTGAGAGTGGAGGGTCAATGCAGGAGAGGAAGACCTTGGATGGGATGGATTAACCAAGTGACTGTGGCAATGGGAGCAGATGAGTCAGACAGTGAGGTTGGCTTAAAATAGGACAAGGTCAGCGCTCTCATTCATAGGGTCACTATGAGTCATAGTTGACTTGATGGTACATAACACCACCACCACATACCTTCCAGGGACATACATAGGTAGCTCTGGTGGCCTAGCTGTAAGAAGCTGAGCTGCAATCTCAAAGGCAACAGCTGTTCCACAGGAGAAGGATGAGCAATTTCCTCTCATGCAACTTATTGCCTCTAAAAATCCACTGGAGGGTCAGCTGTGGGTAGGTTCTGACTCAAAGGCAAGCAATAACAACGTGCTTTACAAGGAGTTCCACTGGTATGGTGGCTATAGGCATTTGGCTGTTAAGTGAAAGATTGGTGGTTCAAAACCACCAGTTGCTCCTCAAGGGAAAGAAGAAGCAGTGTGCTTCCATAAAGATTTACTGGCTTGGCCTCTCTGCAGGGCAACCCCACTCTGTCTTGTAGGGTCACTGAAAGTCAGCATTGATTTACTAACGATCCATCTTGGAGGCAATGCTAAAAGATAGTTATTATCTTAATTTTACAGATGAGGAGACACGTTTAGAAAGATAGTAATTCTAAAGAGCAAATAAAAAACAGAACTAAGATGATTTTGTGTACTGTAAAGTTGCAGTCAAATGCAAAAAGTGGTGTTATAAAAATTTGGTCTACGTATGCTGATAGTTGCAAGCAAAGCTATCCAGCAAACTTCATCTGACCCCAGATATCACTTGATACTTTTGCAACTTTATATGAGAATTCTAGTCAGAGGCTTGGTAGTGGTGGTGTGGATAGGTGCTATCGAGTTGAGTACAACTCATAGTGACCCTGTAAGCCAAGGTGAGCCCTTGCCCTATCCTGTACCATTCTCATAATTTCTGACACACTAGAAGCCATTACTGAAGTCATCATGTCAATCCATTTTGTTAGGGGGTCTTCCTCTCCTCCACTGACCCTCCATCTTTTCAAGCATGATTTCCCTTGACAAGAAAGAAACTCTTCTAGTTACTTGTCCAAAGTATGAAAGATGAAGCTTCACTATCTTTGCCTCCATGGAGGAATCTGGTTGAATTTTTTCAAGACATAATTGTTTGTTCTTTTGGCAGCCCATGGGATATTCATCACTCGTCTCTAGCACTAAATCTCAATGGTCTCAATTCTTCTGTAATCCTTATTGATTGTCCAGCTCTCTGATAGCAGGTGATTAAGAAGACCACGGACTGAATCAGGTGTACCTTAGTCTTCAAACTGACATCATTGCTCTTCAGCATTTTGGCAAGATCCCGGGCAGTGGACTTGCCCAATGCAATACATTTCCTGATATCCAAACTGCTAGTACCGAGGGTAGTGATTCTTGATCCAAGCAAGAAGAAATCTAAATCATTAACAGCTTCAATACTTTCTCCATCCATTGTAATATTGGCTGTCGGTCCTGTGATAAGGGCCATTGTTTTCTTGTTGAGATGTAATCCATACTGAGGGCTGTAGTCTTTGATCTTCTGCAGAAAATGTTTCATATCCTCATTTTCAGCAAGGGGGTGTTATCTGCATAATGCAGGTTGTTGGTAAATCATCTTCTAATCCCGTGTCAAATTCCTCTTCATAGAGTACAGCTTCACAAATTATTTGGTCAGCATACAAATTGAATAGATATGGAGGAAGGAGACAATCCTGACACACACCCTTCCCGTTTTAAACCATGCACTTTTCCTTGCACCAATAAAAGATCTAGGTAAAAATTTCTCATGAGCACAACTAAGTGTTCAGGGATTCCTATTAGTCTCAGTGTTGTTATGATTGACACAGTAAAAAATGCTTTTGTGTAGTCAATAAACCACAAATAGACATTCTTCTGGTATTCTCTGCTTTCAGCCAATATTCATTTTACATCACCAATGGTATCCCTGGTGCCTCTTCTAAACCCTGCTTAAACTTCTGGAAGTTCCCTGTCAATGTACTGTTCTAACTGGTTTTTTTATGATCTTCAGTAATATTTTACTTGTAGTTGATGTAAATGATATTGTTTGATAATGTCCACATTCTGTTGGGTAACATTTCTTGGGAATGGATACTGGATTGCGACTCAATATCAAGAAGACAAAGATTCTTACTACTGGACCAATAGGCAAAATCAAAATAGATGGAGAGGAGATTGAAACTGTCAACAGGTTTATCTAGCTTGGATCCACAATTAAGAACCTTGATACCAGGAGTCATGACATAAGGAGACATACTGCACTGGGAAAATGTGGATTTAGGGACCTCTGCAATGCTGCCGTGGATGTGCTCACCAAGTTGTGCCAAGAAAACTGCAGAACAACCACTTGGCCAACT